GGGGGGGGGGGTGCTGGGAAGATGGCGCAGTGGGGAAAGGACTTGCTATGCAAGCACAAGGGCCTGAGTTCAGCTGTACAGAACACACAGAGTGCCAAGAGCGGCACGTGTCTATTATCCCAACGTTACTACTGTGAGCTGGGAGGTAGACAGGAGAATCCCCAAAGCTATGGGCTAGTTCCTCAGGTGCACATAGCATCTAACAACAAAGTAACCTGTCTCAAGGTGGAAGGTGAGGACAAATACCAAGGCACATACAGATTTAAACCACCTCCCCCTAAAAAAGAAAAGCAAGCAAATGAGAGGGAATGTCTGCAGGTCTGTATGGTCTTCACCAAAGGCATGCTGACTTTTCAGAACATAGCATGATCTGCCTCTCAGTAGACCAGGGACCCCTCCAGGGACCAGGATTCCCATTTAGGAAAACATCTCCAATTCCTACATAATGTTCTGTTAGATGTTGCTTTAGGGAGAAAAAAATAAAAAGCAGCAGATGATTAGCCCTAAGACAGCAGTTCTCAACCTATGAGTTGTGACCCCTTGGCAAACCTCTATCTCCAAAAATATTTACATTACGATTCATAACAGTATAGCAAAATATGAAGAAACAATGAAAATAGTTTTGTGGTTTGGAGATCACAACATGAGGACTGTATTAAAGGGTCACAGCATTAGGAAGGTTGAGAACCGCTGTCCTAAGATTACCTGAGCTACAGCAACAAGAATGAACAATCACTGGTCAATACAATACTGCCTTCCTTTGGGAAAGGTACTGGATGGCAGGATGCACATGGAGACTTAGTAAACAAATATGCTCAGCATATAAATATAATGCTGTATATAATAAATGTGCTTTCTTTATTATGTTATGCTATGAAAAGTTAAGCTGTGTGTGTATACTGTGTCAGTATTTATTCCTGAAGCAAATCATTATGCGGTAGCAAGAGCAGGAAACACCAGCATTTGGAATTACCCAGGTACCTCCCTGACTTGACATTATGAACACCGAGGCTTCGGTTACCAGGTACTCAGGGCCTCAGCTACATGCAGGGTTTGCAACCTCTACCAAGTTAGGTTCTTTTGACAAGTCCAGCCTGTCCCACTTTTCCCCCAATCTCCTTTTCCTAATTGTAATCCTACTGATAATGGTTTCATGGAACCTAAAAAGTATTTTGCTAAAGATATTTAGAATTACTGTGCTAGAACCAGTAAGTATACCTGACAGTATTAGGGTAGAACACTGACCAAATCATTATTCACTACAATTAGGCACACCAAAAATCTATTAATGAGCTTCTTACTACACAACCTTATGCTGTGAGGCAGGCCAAATTATAACCCCTACAAAGTAAGAGGGTGCAACACCCATAATGCCTCGCCAAAAGTCAGGTGTTACCACGGCAGCTGGGGCACCTCCCTGTCTCTTTCAAATTCCAGCTCTTATGAAAGAGGCTCAACTCTTGGCTGTGGCAGGTTGCCCTGTTTTTCTGACTTCTACCAGGAAAGACAGCATTCTTCTCTGCAAGATGAGGCCCTCACCAGACAACCTAACCTCCCTTCATCTTGACTGTCCCAGCCTCCATGATATGGGAAATAAATTTCCACTCTAAGACTCACCTAGTCTTAGCTATTCTGCTATTGCAGCACAAAATGCACTGTGACTTAGAAAAGCAGCTGGGCGTGGTGGTGCACATCTTTAATTCCAGCCCTTGGACGGCAGCAGGGGAGTGGGGGGTGGACACGGGACACAATGATACACAATGACACAGATACAGGTAGATGTATGAGTTTGAGGCCAGCCTGGTCTACAGAATGCATTCTAGGACAGCCAAGGCAAACAGAAAAACTCTATCTCAAAAAACAAAGACTTATGGGGGGTGGGAGGAGGGAGGAGAGGGGGATCTGTGGCTGGAATGTAAAATGAATAGAAAATCTAATAATAAAAAAGGCACCCCAGTATGTGTGCATGTGTATGTGTAATGCACAGGCACAGATGTCACTGCACATCTGGAAGTGAGAGGACAACTTGAGGGAGTTGGCTCTCTCCTTCCACCATGTGAGTCCCAGGGATGGAACCAAAAGATCAGGTCTGGCCACAGTGATCTCTACTGACTGAGGCCATCCCACAGGCCCTGTGTTTGTTTTTGATACAATGTATTAATAACCAGTCTGGAAAAAGTCCCTTTGAAACTGAAACAAATGTTAATATACGATGTTTCCCTGCAGTTGATACTTTTTATGATATTCAAAGACCTTTTGGAGTATTTGGTCATAGGCAAACCTATTAGCTACTTATCTGTAAGATGGGCATGGTAATACTATCTACCACATAGGGCTATTGGCAAGTTACTGTGAAGACTGAACTATATTGCATAATAAGTAGTTAATACAGCACTAGAGATAGTGAGGTATTTTGTATGAACAATTTGATGCATTTGAGCTATTTTTCTTTAAAGTCAGCTGTACCTCTGTAAGTCTGTATAGCTTAGATAGAACTATAAACCTAGTAAAATTCAAATTTTTTATATTTGAATTTAGTTATCATATATGCATGTATATTTGTGTGTTCATGTAGCACAGCATGCAGGTGGTTGGAAGTCAGAGGACAATTTGTGGGAGTTGGTTCCCTCTCCTTCCATTATGCACATTCTGCAACTGAACTTGGCAGCAAGTACCCTTATCTATGAGCCATCTCACCAGCCATGAATCTTGAGTGTAAATCTATGGACTCTTTCTGATCCAGGTGTAAAACATTATGGTCACCCCAAATGTTCTCCTTGTGCCTCTTCCTAGTCAGTTCCTCCCTAGATCATTTACCTGCATACGAACTTCCTATTAATGAAGCCATGCAGCATCTCCTTCATATTTGGCTTTTTTCACTAACTCTATCTGTGAGAGTCTTCCATGTAGCTGGATGTATCAGCAATTTCTTTTTGAGTGCTTTATTGCATTTTATTGTATGAGTTTTCTATAGTTTATTTTTGGTTTTTCCGAGACAGGGTTTCTCTCTTATAGCCCTGGCTGTCCTGAAACTTGCTCTGTAGACCAGGTTGGCCTGGAACTCAAGAGATCTAGCAGCCTCTGCCTCCTGAGTGCTAAGATTAAAAGCCACCAACTACTTCCTAGTTCCCTACACTTTACTTATCCATTGTCCTCTTATTGGGCATTTTTGGTTGTTTCCAAGGGTTGACTTTTATAAATAAAGTTATTCTGAACATTGTTTTGTTTGTTTGAGACACAGTCTCAGTACACAGTCCTGGATATCCTGGAACTCACAGAGACCCACCTGACTCTGCTCCCACACCATCCTCCTCCTGTACTGGGATGAAAGCTATGTGCCATCACTCAAGTTTCTCATCATTGTGAAGGCTGAAAATCCAAGACCAGGAGTCAGCAGGTTTGGGTTTTGAACCTTCTCCTCCTTGCATGAGGTCATTTCTCTGCTTCTCTGGTTTCTCTTCTTCTAAGAACACTGTTCTTACTGCATTATGGCCCTGTTTTAAATAATGAACATTCTCCTCAGGTTCCATAGAGAGATGTACTGTGGCAGATTTCAGGTGGTCGTGTCCTTTGATAATGCAGCTCCTCACAACAAGGCAAGATGGAGGGACAGGAGTCCAACACCATGGGCAGGCAGTCTCATTATGTAGGCTAGCCAGCCTGGCCAGTAGATAGCTCAGGTTGGTCTCCAACTCACGTTAATCCTGTCTCAGCCTCCCAAATGCTGAAATTACAGACACATCCCACTTCCCAGAAGCATATTAACTTTTTTTAAAGTTTATTTATTTGTATTTTATGTATGAGTGCTCTACATGTATACCTGCAGGCCAGAAGAGGGCATCAGATCCTGTTATAGATGGTTGTGAGCCACCATATAGTTATCGGGAATTGAACTCAGGACCACTGGAAGAGTAGCCAGTGCTCTTAACCGCTGAGCCATCTCTCCAGCCCATCATATTAACTTTTTAATAGTGTCTTTTGAAGAAGAGAAATTTTTATAGCTGTGATTTTCATAACCATAATTTTGATTTTTGATTTATAAGAAATCATGACCAATCCTAAAATCATTAAGGTAGTCTTAAGGTAGTCTATGATCCTTTTGGGTTCCTTTGTGTAGTCTTGGCTGTCCTAGAACTCACTCTGTAGACCAGGTTGGCCTCCAACTCACAGAGATACACCTGCCTCTGCCTCCTGAATACTGGAATTAAAGGCATGTGCCATCACTGCCCAGCAGTCTATAATCTTTAAAAATTCATTTTTTGCATTTATTTGGGAGAGGAAGGGAGGCAT